TATTGGTTCAGGGTTAAAATGCATCTCCATCTGTTTCTCAATGTCTTTGCCTCGATCTAGCAATAGCTTACTGAAGACAAAAATATCAGCTGTTCATCACCCCTAAAATGGAAAAATGTACGCATCAGAAGGACTCACAAGCATGAGTTTTACCTACTTCATTGTGATGGCAAGACCTCAAATCCCAATGCAACCAGGCGATGATTTTTGGTTGAGTACCTAAGTGGACCAATAAGGGGGGATAAATATGACCAAATTCGCTCCAAGCCCTCTCCATCCGACATTCCCCACCCGTCATTTAACCTTGGATTGTATTGGAGTTGACATGACCATTCATCACTACAAAGATTACCAATTTCACCTGAAGTGAAAATGGTATGACCACCCAGGTGAAGTGATACTTTTTTTACCAGTTTTTATCACCAAGGGAACATGAACTTTTTTAGTCTTCTCAGCACCAAAAACAAACTTAAATATACACACATTGAATTAAACATATGTACATATTGTAAATAGCACACAATTCTGCATGGCTCTACTAATACCAGGGGTGTGATCATACCTATACCACTTGCAAGTTTTCAAACACTGATTTAATTTGGACATTTTTGGTCGCCGTTCTGCCGTTTTGCACTTGTAAATTTTATTTGCCGTGCGCGTTGATAGGAGTCATTCATTTGCGTGTTTGGAAGACAATGGTGTTAAGGAGATCGTGGGTGGGCAACGGAATGACAACTTGGATTAGATCGGGCTACATCTCTAAACCAACAAGGTAAACCAAGGTCTGATGACCCACCGATCCATCAGTGGAGTGCTGTGGAGTGCCTACGCAAGCCAAGAAAATATCGCCGAGGCAAGTGCGTTGTCTGTCCGGAGGGAAGGGCACACACTCCTCCATGACCAACTCATCACTTCAGCTATCCTAAATACTGTTCTGCCTGACCGCCGACTACATTGTGATCCTTCAAAAATTTAACTTCTTCGCTTGCGATTTTCGAGATATTTCTATAGTTCTAACAATATTTCGCTCTTGCACATATCCCAAGGGTTCATTCACACGATATCCCCCATTTGTTCCCTTCCCAATCAACCCATCAAAAGATAACTCATCTGCACAAAATGTCAACTTTTCCATTTATGAACAACGTTGAAAGCAGGAGACCGCCTCCTGGAAATATACCACGTGCCGACAAGCTTGTGGAACGTAAGTCTGGACAACTTTGAAACAAAAAGGTTTACCTGACTCTCGCTGCTTTTGCTTAAATAGTCTAGCGCGCCGATTTGGGATCTCGCGTCAGTTCTCTCGACGACAGACTCACCAGAGTAGTCCGTCAGTAATCTTATTTAAATATCATCATCATACGGTTGTTTCATCAGCTGATTCTTTTTTTTAACTTTTTCATTGATCAGACTACTGCGGTTGGGAAATTGGCAACCTTACTACCAGCTTTGGGGCTCTTGAGAAAAAAGTGGAAGATCTAGCTCGATCATCGGTGCTACGCGGCTCAAGTGGTGGGGTAGAAGCTAATGTGGCCGAAGCAGGAGCAGCGGCGGAGGATGACTTCGAACCCCAACCGCTCAATGAGGACGCGGTCCCAGAAGCCACGCCAATCGAAGTCGATACTAGTGAGGCTGCTCGCGATTTCAGGAAGCAGGAGCATATTAGGTTAATGGCAATGGCGGATAAGACTATTAGAGAGGCCCGCCGTACCATTATCAAGGCTGAGAAGACCATTTCAGACGTCAAGGAGTCTCTCGCTGCCGACTTCGATCGCTTGGAGCGAGAGAGAGAGGCTAGAGTGTCGGCCACGCGGTATGTGCCGCCGACGAGGCAGCCGGAAGGGTCGGACGAACCCGTGGATCGGACCGATGTAGCGGAGGAAGGAGAGGCGCATTTCGATTACATGAATGTGTCGATTCAAAACACCAATCCGATCTCACAGAGCGAGAGCAGAACGGCAGCGCAGGCGAATGGAGGGAGCTCTGAAGGGGGAACGCTTGAAAGGAACGTTAAGAGACAAATCAGTATGCTTGAATCCGGGACCTCGCAACTAATCGGATCGATCGCAACCTCTGAGCCGGCGGTGAGAGATGAGCAAGGTACTGTCAACCAAGAGGACTGTAATCGGGCCAGTAAGCGACCCAGATTGAACTGATGCTCAAGGTCAATAGAGACTTAGTGGTGAGAAATTAATTTATTATATGATTATTGGTACTTTGTAAGAGTGCCGATTTGCTGATCATCTCATGTTTCCGTGTTCCACTCTCAAACTACGGTTTCGTAGTATGGCTGTGTTAGTATGGCTGTGTGTTCAAGTACGGTTTCGTAGTATGGCTGTGTTAGTATGGCTGTGTGTTCAAGCTATAGGCTGTGCGGCCAAACGTCTGGAGCGAAAAATTTCCTTGTCTTGCTAGATATTTTCTTATAAGACGTGTTGTCATTTGCTACTTTTTACTATTTGGAAAAGTTTAAATTCCGATGAGTTTGGTTGGAGTCAATTAACATTTCCTGTTGTATGAGTCTAGTGTTACTATTGTGTCGTCCCGATGCTAGACTGTTACTCTTACAAGAAAATGTTTTGAAGTAATTGACGCTGGGCTGTGTGACAGATTGCCTGGTCATAAGGAATGCCGGGTCAAGCGGCACAGTCTCAAATTCTCTCTTCTTATGTATCTAGGATCCGACAGCAACTAGAATCAGATGTACACGGGAGAATAGCTTCGGCCAGCAAGGCTCGTCCGCTTGGAGAATTTGGTAACAGTTCAAAACATAATCAATGTTGATACCCTGTACCATTCACAGCTCGTGCCCATTTCACTGGCTACGGGAATGCGACCGGGGATGCAACCGGAGTTCTACTCATTCTAATTTTGTCGCCATCGTTGGGGATCTACTGGAAGCCTTACAAAGGCAGATCGAGTGATAGGATGTGCATCGGGAACCACTCTACCTGCAAATGTGCAATATTTTCCCAGACGCGATGGGTCCCCTTCACATTTTTTTGGTCATGGGTCGTGATTTAGTCAAAGAGCAGAATACAGACGTACAATAGAATAAAAAAGGGGAGTTCACACCTGCCATAGCTATGTTGCTATCTTCGTGGAAGCCTTACAAAGGGAGATAGGATGTGCAACTAAGTTAACTAAGTCCCTTCAAATTTCAGGAGTGAGCCTTTGGTTACTGAAAGGGAGCCGCGGACCCCAAAAATTGCCTGCCATCGCCGTTCCTGAGATCATAATTAGTCCAGCTACTTGATTTCGTCAAAGGAGTGATTCAAACCAAAGAGAAATAAAGTCATGTTCAGCCAAAGTTGGATGGATCGTCCCTTTACAAAAGGCCGCCAGCATGCATAACTATGTAGAAAAACCACGCACAGCTGTTGTTGTGGGTAGCTCGTGAATGGGACCCGTTTTCTACCTAATAGTTTGCCACCTTATGGGTCCGGTTGGGTACGGTAACTTTCAAGGAGTACACTTAGCGAGGTTTTGTATTTAACCCCCCCCCCCCAATTGGTCTCTTCATTCGCGTCCTTCCATACCTTCCAGATACATTGTCGACACTGATCTTTTTTGTCTGCTCGTCGATTTTGAAAGCTGTGGTATTGAATATTCCACTGATTCTGCTGCCCCATCACCCGTCTCGCTGCTTGCTTATACTTCACTGTTAGTGATCCGAAAGACCTGCTATTATATCATTCTTCCTAAACATATATAGCTTACGGCCTCAACATCTTCTGCCCAACGTTTCACTTTAGAGTGTCTCATACACTTTCTATCCCGAATGTATGTTTTATTTTGTCCCGAGCCACTTGTTATCAACCTACTGACGCCCATACCATGCATCATTCTTATGATTGTTCTTCCCTGACATCATCTTATCCATATAGCCGCTTTGCGAAGTCCGCGTTTTCTGGAGGTCTAGGAAAGTCCACTCACTCCCGAGCGGTTTTTGTTTCGGCGCCCTTCGCATCCGGCGCTCTCCGTGTAAGTGCATCTTTCTTAGCCTCATCATCCCCAATGACTAAAAAGTTGGAACTGACGAGTGATATTATTCTATCCTTATCATGCTATTAGTTACCTGTTGTGGAAATTCTCCATCGAGTGGAGAACTGATTTGGCTCGAGATTGATCTCAAAACGTGACGGTTTCAGGGTCAGTTGCGCCCCTTGTCTGCCCACCTCATAACGCTTATGCCTCATTATATACTAATTATTGCTTGCATTTTCAATCTTCATTTGAGGGATTACAGGTATTGACTGTTCGCGGGCGACTGTTACCTCACAATGACTACAACTCCGCCCCCTTCCGCTCCTGACAACCGATCAGCAGGCTTTGCTTACCCAGCCCAGCAAGCTCCAGCTCTTGAGGGAAACCCGACCGTGTTTACCCAATTTTCCCCATCAGGAAAACAGAGGAGACCCTCTGTCATAGTACACAAGATCCAGCCTCGCCAGGTTTCCAATCCTAAGTGTATGCAAAGCGATCTCGCCCAAATGCGTGCAGCATTTGCGAAGAACGCGCAAGTTGCTCCAGTCAACCAAGAAGCAGGCAATTCGGTCAACCAATCCGCTATGCAGAAAACTCGAGGGCCCTTTGCTCAGGTGGACCAAACAGCTTCCCCGGCGATAAATGTCGCGGGTTGGGTCCCGAGAATTCCAAGCGAAGCCAGCGAGGCCGGTTCCAATGACGAGGAGGATGCAACCGGAAGACCAAGCGGTCCCCAACTTTCCTCGAAGCTAGTGTCACAAATCGAGAAAATCCCAGCGGAGCTCTCTTTTTTGCTAGAACCAAATAATGATTTGCAAAAGAGGTCATGCACGAAGGAGCTCATCCTGAAAGGTATCAGGCACTTCATACCTTCGTACAAGCCACCAGTCAAACAACCAAAGAAGGGTCTCTTGGTCAGAGCTTTCCAGCTCCAGATTCTTCCACTCATTGCCCCTTATGTTCAGTGGAAGATGGAGCAATTCGAGCAAGCCGCGGCTGACGAATCTGTCGAAATGCAAGAAGATCCAGCTCCGGTTGACTTGTCGGGGATCAATCCGAATAACCCCAGTATCACCACGGATATAATTCTCACCATCATAGCCGAGAGACGACCCAGCACCAAACTCCCGGAAACCATGAGCAAATCGGCAGCCATCAATTTCTTTCACCAATACATCTCCCCAAGACCACCTCATGGTTATCCTCAGGCTTTCACCACATGGCCGACAACTGTCCCCATGCCATATCACCGCTTTCTTACTCGTGATGAGCTTCGCTATATCATCCAATGTTATGTCGGAATCTTGTTCATTCCTTGCGCTATTGGTAAGGTCCACCTTCTAGCTATCTATGAGCAATTTGTCCTAGATGAAATTTCTGAGGAGAACATCTATGAGGGGATTCATTATTTTGTTCGTCAAGATCCAAACCCTCCTCAACAGTAGGCCTTTTTTAATTAGTATAAGCTGCGTGAAGTCTTTCTGAATTATCTCACTAGTGTATGTAGTCCTCCCCAGTTCATGGTTGTTGCCATATGATTGGACCCTCAGCTCCTCAGACGCGCGGAAATATTGCTCCTTATTCTCCCCTATTCCTCCTTATTCCTCCTTATTCCTCCCCTATCGCCCCAGCGTGAATGTGTAAATATAACAGTACGGCCATTTGATTGAACTTCTAAAAACCACCCCGCGCTTTCCGCCTGATTCCTCCCCTATCCCCCCAAGCGTGTATGTGTAAATAGAACAATACGGCCATTTGATTGAAATTACATATATTTGAAAAAAAAAGCCCGCCGCTCCGCGCTTGTCGCGGTGTGCCTTCCTTCCAAGGACGCTGCAATGACCCGAAGCTCGTGTCTTGCATGTGTTCTTGTTTGCCTCCTTGGTCCCAGCTTAGACATTACTAGTCGCCTTTCGACCCCTCCGAAACCCCTTTTGAGAATCACATTCCCTTTCTACTCTAACACCAAGCGTAAGCGTCTGGCTTTTCAATGCCGCCCCGAAAACCTCAGAATAATCGTGCGGTATGTCTTTGCTTTTCTCACAATTGCAATGATCAATCGCATTGGGTTAAGAGCGAAAAAGTATGGAGCGCAGGGCGGGTGCTCAACTGTCAGACCGTCATTCGGCACCAGCTGGCGGATCAGGCTGCAAGTACATGTGTGTCATCAATTGTGCTTGGTCGCTCTAAGTCTCGGATTGCGAGTTCTGATGATTTTTTGAATTTTCAGCTCTCCCCTCGGCAGATGATGAAACCTCAGACCCGGAGTCATCAGGAATCTTACACGCGCAGGATTCGGAAGATAATGGCCTAGCGGCAGTTACGGAGGCATTGGCGGTCACTACGATCGACTCAGCACGTGTTCCTGTTAGAACGGTCTATGATACATGTAAGTGCTGTGGTCCAACTTAGCTCACATTCAATCTCCTGACTTACCATGTGTTTGGTGTTAGCGCACTGGATGACTTCTCCATTTGCAAATACTCGACCAGTCTTTACTTATGCGGTTCTAGTGGCCACTATGTTCACAATCCTCCTTCCTGCATCAAACCTCTCCACTGCGTGGCTCCTCCGGCGTCAACGCGACCTCATTGAAATGACTCTTTCTCTGGGACTGAACCCTAGCGCGACACCTCGCCCTTTGACTACGACGGAGGGATTGGCACTGGACAAACTGCCTGTCAGCATGGAGACAGTGATAAAGTGGCTCAAGCTGGACCCAGTTATTGTTTATCTTAACTGTTGCTCACGCTGCTTTGCTACTTATCCTCTGAGTCGAACGCCCCGCAATTGTGTTCATCAAGATGACCCGATGGACGAAGAGACCACGCCCGAAGCTGCCACAGAAGAAGCCGGCCATAAAGACTCTTGCGACCCAGAGGAGTCTAACGGCTCAGACACACGAATTCCTAATTCATCCACTGGGTGTGGGCAACCTCTTTTCCAACCTGACAGAAAAACTGCCATTCGGAAGTTCGGCTTTCAACGCCTGAATGATTGGCTGGGACGATTTTTCTCGCGACCCGGCATTGAAGATGCACTTGATCAGTCGTTGTCCGCCTCTTCACAAGACCCAAAAAATCAAATTTCTGACATACACGACTCTCATATATGGCGCGAGTTTACGGGGCCCGACGGCTTGCCTTTCACAGCATCGAGTGGCAATCTGGTTTTTGGTCTCTTTATTGATGGGATCAACCCTTACGGCTCCAAACAAGGTGGGAAGCACGTATCAATCACGTTTGTAGTCCTGGTCTGCCTTACTCTCCCTTATACAATGCGCTTCCTACCCGAAAATGTCTTTCTTGTCGGCATTGCCCCAGGCCCCAAAGAACCCAGTTTAACTCAAACAAATTGGATTCTCAATCCACTCGTCCAACAACTCAAATCTCTTTGGACCGACGGACTCTATCTATCTTGCACACCTCGCCATCCGGAAGGCCGACACATCTTTGCTGCTCTTTTGCCAATTTTTGCCGATCTCCCGGCGTTGCGCCGTGCAGTAGGTTTTGCGGGGCATGCCTCGGCCGAATTTATGTGCTCCTTTTGTGCAACGACCAAGGATAACATTCGAAATCTCAACACCGAGACCTGGACCCCACGCACATCGGGTCACCACATCGAGTGGGCTCATGCCTCACGGGATGCTCAAGACGCAAAAGCAAGACAGACTATCTTTAAGCAGCATGGCATTCGATATTCAGTCTTGACTGAACTACCATACTGGAGGCCCATCGAACATCAAACCCTCGATTCCATGCACAATCTCCTCTTAGGTCTACTTAAGTGGCATTGCATACGTTTTTGGGCTATTAAAAAAATCAAGTCCAAAGATACGGGAAATCACCCGAGCACCGCTATCCCAACTTCCGACTTATTGCATGTGTCGGCCGCGATCGTGCATGATCCAGAACTTGCGGAGCGGGAGGACGATTTCATTGAATCCTCCGCCGATGGATTATCCTCTGTAGGAGCGGAATACGGCAGTCAACTACCATCCGATGACTATGACTTCGACTGGGATGATTCAGACACGAACGGGTGGGATGGCATCTGGAGCGATGGAGAGGAAGCCTGTGTCTTTGATTCAGAAGTGCTGACCGAAATCAACTCGTTGCTTCCCCGCATCCGCTACCCTTCGTGGATCAAAAGGGCTGTTCCCGTGCTGGGGAAAGCCTCGTACGGCAAGCTGAAAGCAGATGAGTGGCGTAATTTATTCTTAATGCAATTACCGCTTGTTTTGGTCAAAATATGGGGCGGCGACAATGTAGAACGGGGGAAGATGGCATTGCTGCAAAACTTTGCCCATCTGGTTGCCGCGGTTGACCTAGCCTTGAGGCGCAGCACCAACGCAGAACGCATCAACTCCTACCGACACCACATGAAGGAATATTTGGCAAGCTGCGAAATCTTATTCCCGGACGTCAACTTAGCCCCGAATCATCATCTAGCCATGCACCTAGCGGATTGTCTTGAACGTTTCGGTCCTGTCCGCGCTTGGTGGTCATTTCCCATGGAAAGGCTCATGGGTCAGGTTCTTCATTCGTGTCACAATAATCACATAGGTAAGCCGAGTTCCAACGAGATCTTACGGGAGCTGCATGCCTGATGAGCCGTTCGCATTTTGACTGTTTGACAGGGGAGCTTGAGATCACTTTCATGCGTGAATTTTGCCGAGCTGGTAACCTACGCGCGTTGCTCAACAAGCCCGAATTCTTCCCCGATGCCCTCAAGCCCACTCTCACTGAACTTAAGGATCTTTATGAGCCAGTACATTTCACCTCCAAATATCTTTCCAACAAGTCCGAGACCCTCAGCTCCGCAGACGCGCGCCAACTGATTGACTACCTCAATGCCGGATCCTCGAGAACCAGTTGGGCTCTCACAAGTGACTGGACTCGCCTGAGCAAAGCAGAGAAGAAGAAGATGTCACCGCTTGCCTCTCAAAAGCAGAGTCATCAACATTTCGAGCACCGGGGTGTCACTTTTTCTACTTGGTCGGCTAACTGCAAGAACAGTGTCATACTAGTTCATGAGTCGTTCCCACACTTAATTCGCTTTGCACAAATCGAATCTATCTTTACTCACTTAAGAGTAGACCACACCGATGAACGATTTGTCGATACCTGGCTCAAAATCAAGCCTTTACCACCATTGACTGGGCCAATTCCAAAGTCATTCATTCAACTCCAAGAACAAGGGCTCCAAGCGCACCTCCGCCATCCAGCGAAAGGCCCTCAGCACTTGATCAATATCAAAGATGTAGTATCTCATTGTGCCTGGATTGAATACAAAGCCGGCGAACTTAGTAGCAGATTATTATATCCTACGGTGGCTTTGATGTCTCTTGATCGCGAATAAACACATTTGTGAAACTTAAGACGCGCTTCTGAAACTCAACTCATTTGGTTAGCTTGCTCCTTAGACTGGTCTTCTTTCTTTGCGATCCTCTTTTTCTCTTTTTCCTTGAACTTTCGTCGATTGTAGGCCCTCGCCAGAGCCATTTTCTCTTTAGAGGCTATACACATAAGAATTCCATGACGAGAAATCCCTTTAGGGGCTACATACAAGACCTCGCTTTCATAACAACATCTTTGGCCTCAGAGCTGGCAACGATGTAAAGACATCAAACAAATCAAAAGAGGATTTTTGAAACCGGGCAAGTCATCATGAGAAATCAAAACACCAAACTTTTGCAAACACGTCAGTTCGCCTTCGCACCCACAGGTGGGGGTAATATATGAAAAATATAAATAGATCAGATAAGAAGATTTATGAAACCCTAAGTAAAAAAGTGAAAACAAAATCAGGAGCACGTCGAGTAAAAGTGAAACAAAACTAAGGTGAACTTCTGGCGCGCTTGAAGCCCGCTCGACTCCTTTCCTCATCCGCCGGTCTTTTTGAAGAGGATGCTACCGGCCTTTCCCTTTCAAACACGGGGCTGTTGACACGGCAAGCATTGCGCAGGATGCTGGAAGCGCTGGGCAAAGGGGACGGCGAGGCCATGGAAACATCATTCAGATGATCTGGTATCTGCCCGCCCATCAGTATCACTTTCTAGTCCTCTCCAAATAGTGGAAAGCAATTGAACTCACTTTCTCTTTCCCGCCCATTCGGGCGGACACGCGGACTTCTTAAGAACCGCAGCGCTCCCAAGATTCCTGCCACGTTCATCTGATCGCGAGAGATGGAATCCTCCGCGCCATCCGTAGCTAAGACATTGATTAAGAACAGACATAACCCCAATCAGTACTTCCTTTGACAACCTATATATAGCTATATATGTACGCCATATTCTCAAGAAAAATCTGCCACTCACATTCGGAGACAAACCTGGCCCGATTCCTGCTGGGTCTCACAGGGTTGCCATCCTCGGTGAGAATCCCCGCCGCTTTCATCAGCCTGACCATCTCGTACACACGGTTCAGATCTTCCATTATAGCTCTGAAATCAGCGCGCTCATTGAGATTTCGGACGATTTCGGCGCGGAACTCATTCTCTTCAAGAAGCACTCTCCCTCCGAACCCAGATATGATCTCGTTAGTCATAACCAGCTCTTGAGTCCGGATGGCGGTAATTCTGGCCTGACACTCGTTGATTATTGACTCCCGCTCTTCAGTCGAGTGGCCCTGGAGCCTCGCCGTCACCAGCACAGCCCCGAATTGCCTGCGCAGCACTTCCAAAAGCCCATCCAACAAATGAGCAGGAGATTCCGGCTCCCGAGCACGGTTGGGAACCCGGGTTCCACTCCTCTCTCGAGTGGATCCCTCGTTTTCGCGAGCCCGGACGGAATACTCCAGATCCAAGAGTCGTGCCATGACCCGATTCAATATATCTGACATGCGACCAAAACACATATCAGACAAAATCCCATTCATACATAGGTACTTCAACTACATTTCACTCACCCATGTGCTCTCGACGGCTGTTGAGGTCCGTTACCCTTCTGTCCAGCAGTTCGGATATCTCATCGCCTGCGAAACAAAACAAAAAAAAAGTAAATTGAATGTCAGTTGCAAATAACCCATACGAATTCACAATTGCATCAAACTTACGCATTCTTTCTTGGCCTATTTGCATTTGCCTCATGACGCGCGCCATCGTTGGAAGGTTTTCAATCGACCGCCCATGCTCGAAACCAATAACACTAGTGACCCTCTCTTCTACCAAGGTCAAGCGTTCCTCGCCTCCCAATTCCTGCGCTTGGTCATCATCTGTCCCAGAGTCGTCCGGATCTGTAGATAAGACAGTACAACATAGTCAGAACATAGTCTTTACACGCAAGCTGATATTTCAAGTAATTTACGGTTGTTCATGACCTCGATGGATTCCGGAGAAGGCGGATCGAGCTGGTCAGATGGCGGGGAACGAGGCGCCTCAGATGCCGGGGAACGAGGCGCCCGGGCCGGAGATTGTAACCTCTCAAATGATGTTTCAGATGATTCACTCATGTTGACAGGGGAAGAAACGCAATTGAGTTTCCCTTGAACGGGTGAACGGGGCTTGAACGGCAGGAAGGACAGGGGAAAGCACAAGGACACGAAGGAAGATGAGCTTCACTTCAGCAACAGAGAAAACAGGCCGAAGCTGTTAAGGAGACAACCGTAAACAGGCTGACAACAGAGCAAACAGGCCGAAGAAGCCGAGGTATTTGTTCAGAGGGGTGGATGTAAATGAGTGCACTCAGCCGAACTTGTCAAATCCAGGTTTTCTACTAACAGGGGAATAACTTAATAGCTGTACTTCGATGAGTTTGTTCCGAAGTGAACATTTTTAGATGTTGATACACCGGGTCGACTTTATACCTAGGCCTTCCTGCTCACACCATCCTTACGTCTCCCCAGTCCTTAGCATTATTATGCAACAGTTGCGGTGTGGGCCCAGCAATTCTCATTGCAATGCATCTTAAGACTTTCCTCCATTGTTCTGCTGTCTTGGTGGGCCCGGTGTGTTCCATACCACGTAATGTTTGGTCCTAATTCCCCAAGTTAGTGATCGGCCAATCTAACGGATGAATTTCCGGGTTGACACCTGACTGGTGCAGTCCAGCTTGAGTGTCATCCATCGATGCGTGGGTCCTGATCCAATATTCTTCGCTTAAGAAGAATACTTTTCGGGCAATTAGCACCCCCACCACTAGGCAAGCATCAGTGGTACGTCAGTTCAACCTTGGCTTCAGGATTCTCAAATCGAACTCAGCTATGTCGGCTCGCTCAGGTAAGGGTAACAAGTTCAGGTCTTCATTCCAGGTATGTGTCACTGTGAAAACTATTCGCAGACCGGCAACATTGACAGGAGAGATATGCGTACGTAGCGATTCATTTCTTCATTGCATCATAGTTTAGTTCACCACATGCCCCCATAGCCCCATCTGTCAAACGAGTATCGGCCATGTTCCTTTGTGTGCTCACAAAACCCACTTTCAGTATTGCCCCTAAGTTGCCCAGTACCAGGTAAGCACCGGCCAGTTGAACCTTGGCTTTACACTTGAACAACCGAACCCCCGCCCCACTGATCTCCTTGACCAGCTAGACTCGACTCCGTCAGGTCAATCAATGGGACACAGTCTCCATTTCGTTCCACGTATGCATCAAAGGAGTAGTCGCTCTGCACTGAACAATGTATGAAAGACTAAACGTTCGAGCTGAACCAAAGAGTGACTAGAACAAAGAAAGATCTCAGCGATAGGGCCTCTTCTCAAAGGAAGAGCTAACATTTCCTTCTCCAGTAGCTCTTTCCACACACCGAGCGCTAATCAATTCTCCAAGGAAGTGCTGAGCAATTCCCCAAGGAAGCAAGGAAGAGTTCCTTTCACCCATTCCGCTGTGTGCCATCCCATGACATCGCGCACCAAAATAGTATTGCATGAGGCCCACAAAGCATCCTCACTCCTTTCTCGGCCTTAGCTGATCTCAGTGATCTTGCGCCTCTTGCCCAAAGGCGATGAGTGTGAAGGCAATGGGCAAGAGATACTAATGCGATTCTTAAAAGCAATCATCCAATATTTCGGATGTATAAATCTTTCAGATGCACGTCTTCTCCCACAAACTACATAGTACATAGTACAATACCTTTTTGAACCTCTCCTTGTAGTCACTTCTGTGAACCGCAGCTTGTCCTAAATTCTTCTAATTAGCTATCCTAATGGCGAGATCAGCAACCGGTCGAAAACACCCTGCCCGCAAGCAGCCTTATTTTCCTGCGGATGCCCAATGTATGCCTGATAATACCCATCAAGAAGACCCAAGCCCCCCAATCCGAAAAACTCGATCAGGAAAAGTGTTCACTGCTCCAGCCGAAGGTTCCTCATTTTTTATACTCTTTGCTTTTGTCCCCTGAATGACAATGTCGCAAGCGCTGACATGCTGATCCTTTGGCATGCCTCAATGTCATGATTTGCGACGAAATCAGGGGAAACCCAACGTCCCACGCTACGACGTCCTCCCATCTCTAGAGTCAAAAAGTCAAAGAGAAAAGCACGTGAAGGAAGCTCTTCCGACAGTGATTATGATGTGTCTGAGTCGGAGCCCCCAGAGAGTGACTCTGTTGTGTCGGTCACCGAGTCCAACCAATCTAAGAGACCCAAGCCAAACTCCAAGCGCAAGAGCAAACAACCAAAGAAGAAATGTCGCCAAGGCAAAGGCCCAAGCACCTTGACAAAGACAAAACAGCCAGAAACCTCTGCCTTTGACTTTACATTCCAGACTTCTGGACCCGCGTTCCCAGCAGGCCCTCCGGCAAGATTCCCGTGGAATTGCATTCTACCCGCGCCCAACCAGCCAGCTTCCGCTCTACATTCTTGTTTCTCCAAAGCTTCCGATGCTCAACTCAAGTCAATTCTTAGCTGGGTCGGAGTCCCGGGGGCAGGGAAGGATCGTGCGGACCTGATCAAAATGTGTGTGGCGTATGCAGCTCTGAGTCAGGTTTTTCTCTGCCTTTTGTCACCTGTTGAATGATGAATCTGAATTGTGCGTGCACCACATATTTATGTCCATACATAGTTCGTAAAATACCTTCCACTTCAGCAAACGCCACTGCCGGACCTTCTGCCCCCTCCAAACAACCTGCCGCAGATAGAGACGTTGAAGTTGAAACGCATCGATCGGCCGGTACCCCATTCAAACAGGTGTCTACCACCGTGACAGAAATCAATACGCCGTCTTCGCTTCCTCGGTTGAACCATGCTCACGATTCAGTTGCACCGGACTCACCCCGCCCGCACCATTCATCTAATTCGGCTATGAGAACGCATCAATCAGACCATGATCAGCAAACACCCTGGTAAGTCTTTTTGGGGTAGTATATTATTTGGTCAATTCTTTTGACACTCTGGGTCGGCACTGACTTCCACATTCCAAATCCAAACAGTAACGGTGTGGCGTCGTCTGATCGTGAAGCTACGCCGAGAGGTACCCGAACCGCTTTGCCCGGCCAACCGCTGATGTCTACCGAATTCAAAAAATCAGATGATTTTCACAGTCAAATTCTAGAAATATTGACGTCACATTCGGAAGATTTAATGTTGATTCTGCAGAATCAGCGCGAGACGAACGAGAAAATAGACGGTCTTTGGGAACATCTTAACCAGAATGCTTCCAAGCGAGCCACACGGAGCCGGCGGAATCCTAGTGATGACAAGCAACCAGCAATCCCCCGCACAGGAACACTCAAGGTGCGTACTTTCACGTCACATTCAATGACCTGAATTGCTCAATAAATTTAATAATCCAACATTTTTTCATTTAGGAGCTTGTCCACCATCATTTTCAGGCCCTCTTTGGCCTCCGTCCGCCGCCTGGAAGTCGTGCGCCTCCCAGGGTCCCACCTTTGCCACCTACCGCTGCCGAGAAGAAACGCTGGCTCCAAAACCAGTCTGCTGATCACGACACTGGAACCCCAATGTCACAGTCTCATCGCGAAACATCCGAACATAGATCTTCCCCGGGTCACTCAAATCTCTCTACCTCAGACGAGGATAGAGACCCTCAGTACCCTTACCTGGAGGGCCCTGGTCATCCTGACGCCTCTCAGGAAGAACTGAAAATTATGTACAATATGCTACGGGATAAACACATGCGGCGGTTCCGCATGGACTTCACTGCTGCTATGAGCGTACCAATCAATCAGTTTTGTTTGACCGTTGCTCGAGACATCTTCTTAGCGCTTTTGGAATGCAAAGAGTACGAAGGACTTCACCCAGAAGAACAAAAATCCGAGGTGATTTTCGAACAACTCCGGGGGTATGCCGAAGATCGTTTGGCGCGAAGGTGAGAGGCAGCTAGCTACTACCTACACAGTACACTTCATTTGTTCAACAAAATGATATTAACTTACAGTTACCGAGAGTCGAAGTGGCCCTCAGAGAAACAAAGCCAGAAGGCCGCAAAGCAAAATAGAAACGCCCGAAGAGGAAATGTGCGTGTGACTTGTATGATTTTTTCAATAAGATTTTTCTCCCTTTTGAGTTTTTTGAGGCTCATGACCCTCGTAATATTGGTCAGCTTAAAAACCAGCGAATTCAAACTGCTGTGCAAGTCGGTCTTCAAGGACTCATTCCATTAATCCAAAAGGCTTGTAGCGATGATGAGACCGATGACGAAGTTGAACAAATCCGAAGTCCAACTTCAAAGAGTCAGGTACAAAAGTATTGCAAGGTTCGACACCTCCCATGGCGTAGCAAGGATCTCACGACAATATTTCAATGGTTGGATCAACAACGCGAAATTCAATCCCAATCAAATCCTAAGGGCCGCCAGGGTAACCTCCCACGAATTCGACGTCGGCCAATTCCACCAATCAACAGTACTATTCCTCCTGGAGAAGGTTTACCAAAGGGATCATTTGATCAGGAATGGTTAGATTCCCAAGACACCTTTTCTGTTGAAGCTCTGAATATTGTGCAAAACTCTGACACACATATCAAGAAAGCACTGAGAAAAGTCAAAAACAAGGGTGCACAGTGAATCTGTGTTCTTGTATTTTTGCTTTATTGCTTGTAAAACTGTAGATTTCTGTGTTGTTGAAAATGATGCCTGTAGAAATAATAATTTGATATAATACAGTGGAAATCTACCTTTGGATAGAAATAATTGTTTATTTTTTTGTGTAGATAAGTGTTTTTTTGCAAAAGATATGTATTTACATGATACTGCAACCAAAAGTACAGCTGTGTGTATATTTAAGTTTGTTTTTGGTGCTGAGGTGACTAAAAAAGTTCATGTTCCCTTGGTGATAAAAACTGGTAAAAAAAGTATCACTTCACCTGGGTGGTCATACCATTTTCACTTCAGGTGAAATTGGTAATCTTTGTAGTGTCATGGACATGTGCATGAAACACACTGGTGCCAAACATTAGTTGATTTTGGGCTCTTTCTTCGCTGAATAGATTTCTCTTCAATCAAAAATATGAATGTTGTATTAGTTGGATACCCATGGTTTTAAATGTGATGATGATTTCATTGCAGTATACTACGGAAACAATGAACAACTCAACTTTGATAATTCCCTTTTCAATATTACATCCAATATCATACAAAAAAGCCCATCTCTTCTTGACTTCCTCATCCGCCCTTGTACTATTCATAAGATTATTAATCATGGTCATTGGGAAATAAGCTCTAAAACGTTTTACTGGGGTCAGTTTATATATACATATAAGCTTGGATTGTCTATACATGACAGACTTTTCTCCACTCTGAACAATATTTATAATCCTCAAAACTTGGTCATGTCAACAAGCCATTCCAAAAATTCCAGTGTCGTCACAAGCTTTCCAGGTGGTTGGGCCCCTGACATCGTTGGCTGCTGTGTGTTGTTCGGTACAGCGATCCTATGATAATTGTTGGAATGAGTTAGAATTGGATTTAACTCATTCAATGTTAAGTAATGAATCAACTGACCAAATTGTCATTGACTTCATCTGGTTGAATATTTCCTCTCATGGTGCTTTCCATTTGGAGAACTTCGTCCGGATCAATGAAGAGGGTGAATGTTTTGTTTTGCTCTGGGATCCCACTACTCGCAGCCAGATGTCTTCGATGCTGAAAGTTTCCATCCATACAAACTATGAAATCTGGTTCATTTTCCTTTTTACCTGGAACCGGGGGTCCAAAACATTTCGGACAAATTGCAGACAATTTATCGATCGGTTCCATTTTGAGCAGCTCTTCTGTTAGTAGCTTTTCTCTTCTTAACATTTCTCGATATGCATCAACCGCAGAAGACATAGGGCGCCTCCATTGTCGTACCTGGATATGATGGATGGGGTCAGAGTTGTTACAAAATTTTCATGGAGATTAACATACACTGAATGAGTTATTGGAATCTTCACTGTTAGAGTTGACCAGAATGAGGGGATTGTTTGAATCCAGAAACTCGTCGATGGCTTTTGCAAAGGGAGTCATGGCCACAGCACTATGTTTCCATATTATGTGATGAAACCTAAGGAGTCGGATGGAGAATGCTGTCTGCGGAAACTTTGGGGAACCACCTATGTAACCCATTTGAATAAGTCGGACCTGGTCTGGATGACATCCACAAAAGTCCACTTCCGTCCGCCTCCTAGCTAGTGCATTTTAATATGAATAGAAAAGAATAATCAGATGTGAGGATGTCTGATGATTAATTATATATATTTAATGATACTCACTTAAGATATCAACCAAAACAACCTGTCTCAGTCGGGTCCGAGGGCATTGGCATGGTTCTTTCCAGTCGCAATCCCAAGCTGCCACGTCTCCCCAGTTGGATGTCCGAGCTGCACATTGATAAAAACAAGAGAACATGCCATCAAAAACCTCGTTCCAATGCTTCTCCTCCAAAAGTTTCTTCCTTTTGTAATCCTCGGTCTGGAGGTATGCTAGCAGGTTGTCAACTTGAGGGTCGGTTGGCTGATCATAAGCAGTCTCTTGACCTTCAAAGGTTTCTTGCTGATTGGTTGAATAATCGTATGTTTTGCGGATCTCCAGTTGGCTTGGGTGGTCTTGATAGTCATGTGTGATGTGTTCTTGGGAGATGTTTTCGGAGGTTCGGATTGCATCAACAACTTCCAGTGCCAGTGACTGCTGTAATTGAATGCCGGTACTGGTTGTTGGTTTTCGTGTCCGCTTCTTCTTTCGCCCTCCAACACCCTCAAAGGCAGGCATTGTGAGCTCAGTTTGGGTTGTTCTAGGTTATTTTGTGCCAGTGGAGGTCAGTTCTGGTTGGTCGAGGTTGGTGTTCAGGTTGGTCAGGTCCACCCAGGACGGTCAAGGTGAGTTCAGATCTGTAGAGGTCAGTTCAGGTTGGTTGAGGTCGGTTCAGGCTGGTCAAGGTCCGTTCAGGCTGACCAAGGTTGGTTCAGGCTGGCCGATGTGGTCATTATTCCTGTGTATGAAGGGAGGAAAATTCAAAATTTTATTATTTATCAATGAAGGACTCACAATATGGACAAATGGACGTCAGAAATGGAATCTACGGCCAATTTAACCCCTAGTCACTCACTGGAACCACCTTCATATCTCTACTGGATCAGAAGTTACGCAGAATCAAGGATGTCACACGGAGGATCACAGGATCAGAGGCACTCAGCTGGAGGGTATATTGCATGGGGGTATATTGCATATTGCATATTGAATTCCTTTTATCAATATTGAATTCCTTTTATTCTTACAGAACCACAAGTTGGCCACCAGTTGTACCAGTTAAATTCCCATTTATTCAGCCACAGAACACATGAATTCCTTTCTTACAGCTTACATATAAAAGGAATGCGTTGTAGATAGTCTAGCCAAAATCCCTCAGGATTTTCAAGGATAGGGCAGCTAAAATGCCTCATACAGGGGGTCCCTTGGGGCTAAAATCCCTCATAAATTACTATATAAGGAGGCCTCTGCCTGCCAGTTGTTTCCCTCCTCATCCCACTCAGTACACATTTTTGGTGGGACACCTGTCACAGATATTTATTACACAAGAGGTTCACAAGTAGTACAGTTCACAGTTGAAATATATACACAGTTCATTTCACAAACATTACACAGAAGAACCAGTCCTTTGTTCCAGTCCTGGTTGAAGCATAGTGCTCCCAGACCCTTTGGGTTCAAGAACCACCTCTATTACATTATACATATACAGCATCAAGGAAGAACACAAGTATCAAGACATCAAGACGAGAAACAACATCAACAACTCAATCAATTCTTTGGACAACAAGATCAACCTTCAACAATTATACAACCATCTTTGAACATAATCCATTATCACCAACCAAACTGCCAAGCTTACCTTGGTGGTCTTGTTTTCTGATAATATAGAAAGGCAGAGTTTGCAGCTCATTTCATCCCTTTCTCCATTCAGCAAAAAGGATCTTACAATCACTTTTTGAGTCTTACACCGAGGATGGTTCAGGCTGGCCAAGGTCAGTTCAGGCTGGCGAGGTCTGTTCAGGTCGAGGTCCGTTCAGGCTGGTCAAGGTCCGTTCAGGCTGGCCAAGGTCAGGTCTGTTCAGGCTGGTCAAGGTTGATTCAGGCTGGCCAAGGTTGGTTCAGGCTGGCCAAGGTTGGTTCAGGCTGGCCAAGGTTGGTTCAGGCTAGTGGAGGTTGTTCAGGCTGATGGAGGTCCGTTCAATCAAGGTTGGTTCAGGCTGGTCAAGGTCTGTTCAGGTCCGAGGTCTGTTCAGGCTGGTTGAGGTTGGTTCAGCTGGCTGAGGTCTGTTCAGGTCGAGGTCTGTTCAGGTCTGAGGTCTGTTCAGGCTGGTTGAGGTTGGTTCAGCTGGCCGAGGTCTGTTCAGGTCGAGGTATGTTCAGGTCCAAGGTCTGTTCAGGCTGGTTGAGGTTGGTTCAGCTGGCCGAGGTCTGTTCAGGTCCGAGGTCTGTTCAGGCAGGTTGAGGTTGGTTCAGCTGGCTGAGGTCTGTTCAGGTCGAGGTCTGTTCAGGTCCGAGGTCTGTTCCGGCTGGTTGAGGTTGGTTCAGCTGGCCGAGGTCTGTTCAGGTTGAGGTCTGTTCAGGCTGGTCAAGGTCTGTTCAGGCTGGCCAAGGTCAGGTCTGTTCAGGCTGGTCAAGGTCGGTTCAGGATAGTGGAGGTTGTTCAGGCTGATGGAGGTCCATTCAATCAAGGTTGGTTCAGGCTGGTTGAGGTTGGTTCAGCTGGCCGAGGTCTGTTCAGGTCGAGGGCTGTTCAGGTCGAGGTCTGTTCAGGTCGAGGTCTGTTCAGGTTGTCTGTTCAGGTCGAGGTCTGTTCAGGTTGGTCAAGGTCAATTCAGCTGGGGGTTTGTTAGTTGAGGTCTGTTCAGGTTGGTGAAGGTCAGTTCAGTTCAGGTAGGTCGGTCAAGGTCAGTTCAGGTTGGGCAAGCTCTGTTTAGGTTGGTTGAGGTCTATTCAGAGGTCAGTTCAGGTTGGTTGAGGTCCTTCAGGTGAGTCGAGGTCAGTTCAGGTTGGTCCGGTCACTTCAGATGTCAGTCCAGGTTGGTTGAGGTCCCTTCAGGTCAGTCAAGGTTGGTTAAGGTTGGTTGAGGTCTGTTCAGAGGTCAGTTCTGGTAGGTCAATGCCTGTTCCAAGGTCAGTTGAGGTCGGTTCACTTCATGCTTCCATGATTTTGAATTGAGATAAGAACTATGATTATGTATGTATATAATTTTGGAGGATCTACATATAACTAAAAAAATGGCCTCAGAGGGCCAAACAAACTGTCAGCCTTTGTATTGATTTCTCATGCGGCTTCTAACGCTGGCGTCGAGGTTGCACATTTCAATGTCATTAATAAGACTTTACAATCATAAAAAAAAAAGAAAAAGAAAAAAAAAACAGAAGGCTATTACATACACCATGGGACCTTCAAACAAGTAAAATCCCCAACATCGGGCAAAAACAAACCGCCTGCCCAAATTTGGGGGCATATACTAGTATACATATAATTTTTCTGGTTTCAATCAATAAATAAACTCATATTAGCAGGTTCACAATTGAACTTTTGGCTTCTGAGTTTGATATAATTCTTTTGTGGTTGTTGCATAAATCCCACAAACTCAGGACTTCACACTTGCTACAGGTTGTCAAAGTGTTTGTTGGACCGAGACGACCAAGTCTCCAAACGCTTGATCAAATCACTTTGATTTGTTCAGCAAGATAAAAATTTTACCACTATTGTAAGCATCTGTCAGTACTTCCAAGTTTCACAAGGGTGGCTTCTGGCAAATCTCAATTGTGAGCCCAGCAATTACAACCAGCAGTTGGCATAAAGCTGACAGGAAGACTTCCGGTCAACTTTACAGCCCCCTGTATAAGGTAACTTTCATAGTTTTCCCAGAAAAAAAATAGCTCTACGGCCTGTAAATCTAGCTTGAAAAGGCCTGTAAATCCCATGGGAAGTCCCCCAATAAACATTAATAATTAGAAATGGCATCATACACTGTCTACTGTTCAAACAACCTGTAGATAATATACTACTTAAAAGCCCAATTCACTGTTGGACATATCTTATTAAGGTTGGTGGGTTTGTAAGGTATTTATTGTCTGCAAACCATTGTCTTAAATATTACATATCAGGCATCAATCTGCTGCTGAGACTGGTTCAGTCTCATTATTCTTGCATCATTCCTTTGGTGAAAAAGGGCAGGATATTCAAAACATGTAAATATAAATGTGATGAAAAGACATCTTATGGCAAAAGATCCAATTATGTAAAATATCTCTCCTATTTTTGAAGATACTCTAGAGATATATACAAGAAAAAACACATGGTAATCATTACTTGGATAAACACAAGAGGTGATTATTCTTTTTAAATTGATTAATATATTAATACAAGAGGTACATTAATTATCCAAAGGGGCATAATTATCTTTGTGATCCACCTACTTCTGAGAATATAAACACATTGATCTGGATCCTGTTACCAAACAGTTGGTAGTGGAAATGTAATATTATTTTTGCTTGACCAACATACTATCCCAAATGAATGATCAAGTGTGTCCAAAGACAAATTCATCCTGCCTGCAAATGTAAGTCCATGTCAATCATTATTGTACAGGCAATTTCCCACCAGGCTCCTTTGCAACATTTTTCCTGATGGGCCTTTCTATGTGCTATTACCTACTGGTCTGTTTTATTAAATTTGTCGTAATTGGGTCCACCTGCTTACTCATCCATCTTGATACTGTTACCAAGTACTATTCTCTGCGTTTTTGATAGGGAGATTACTCATTGTGTATATATCCACTCAGCTGGTGTTCTTCAATGGTCAGCAAAAATTAAATGTATCCCAGGTATATTCCATAATCTCATGTTTCTTTAAAGATTTGGAGGGTTTTAGTCCACCCATTGGGATTCATAGCCAGCAATGTCACCCAGGACTCAGCCCAATGATGATTTATCCATGAGGTTAGTTCTTTGGAACATCATTCTATCACCCCTTTGGTTTTGTTGTTTAGCCCTTACAGATGACCAAAAATAATCATATTGGTTTATTTGAAAAGGAACACTTGATTATTTCCCATTATTGCTCACATACAGCGCTGTGACACTACCAGATCTGACTGACACCAAGGGGCAATATGTCTTTATGGTTTTTTGATTGCCTTTCTCTGCTGAGAGATGCTTTGCTTACAATTGGTCTGAGTCCGGCTAGTTGTATTGAAATGATTCACTCTTTGTCTGAATAGATGTCTCAACTGGGTTAGTAATGCTCATTCTTGTGAATCAAATATTGAGTATTTTGGTTTACATCCTAAGTGTCCCAATCAAACTTGAGCATTCATGATCATTGGAAATGTTTACATACTGTGTTGCCTGTATTAGTGTTTGTAATGATATTCCAGTGATTGATCTGGGTTTTAAATGATAACAAGGAAAATGAACAACATTGACCAATAAGTCCCATGCATGGTTGAGTTGCTATTGATGGGCCATGAATATTTATATTCTTACCAATTCAGCTGTATCCATTCATCAGTACCCATACTTAGAAGATCAATATTACTCCTTGTGTATACATCCACTCAATTCTAAAGCAGAATATGAGAGTATTTCACCACTGAGTCAGTGTTTTAACCTTGAATAATCAATTCACACTTTCAACCAACCAAGCATGCTATCTATAAATCAGATGAACATGAACAAAATCATCAATTAACAATCATGCTGCCCCTATACTTTACATTAAATCACTCCATACTTTACATTAACTCACTAGCCCTGCAACACATCTTCAATAGTATTAGAGATATGTACAAGGCTTCAAGTCCCATGTATTGGTCAGTGGCCATTGAAGAGTTCTGACAAAAAATATGCTCAGTTCATTCAGTGATACTTTGACACAATAAACACTCTTTGACACATTTCCCACTCTGTTTGCAGTGTGAATAATCCATTCTCACTTCCAATCCATCTTCAAATAAGGTCAAATGATATGTTTACAACAAATGTGTTACTTAGACACAATTCACACTCTATGACACATACCTCACTGTGTTTGCAGTGTGACTAATTGATTTACACTTCCAATCCATCAATAATGTAACTAATGTTCCCTACATAATTTTCCAATCTTTCCACATTGGACACAGGTGCATCCTTCAATGTAATCAAATATTTCAACATGGATTGCATGTTGAATTAGCAGCCAAGTATGGATGAAATAAATACACCAGCATGGAGAACTTTGAGGATTATGGGTTCAAAGATGCCAACTCTTATCCATGAGCCTGTATGACCAAATCAAATGAGCTCACAACTGGCTTATAGTCTTATTACAACATAAAAAGTCAAGGACAGAGGTGCGCTTAATACTGTATCACCATATAATCAAAGTGTTCATCATTTTAAAGGATAATGGCATGTTAAAACATATCCAATTTACCAACTGGTTCAGGTGTGGTAGGAAATGCTATCTAGGAATAGTAGCCAATTGGAGCAATATTGTAAAAAGGTAAGCTACAATCAGGACTCATTTGGTGAAAAAAATATTCAGTGTCTGCTTGTGTGCCCATAGGTCCACCTGACTTCAACCTCACTTCAACACTCCCTCACCCAAAAATCTTGGGCCTTCCTACAATTCATATCCGGATTCCAGGGGGCCACCCAGAACTCCACCAACCCAGCCGAGTTCATTTTCACTTGGTATTGGAGGTGCCATTCATGGGCTGTTACCATCCTAGTTTAATCACTATTTGCATATTCCCACCCAATCAATTCTATTGGTTCCTCCAAATGTTGAACTCGACATCAACTCAACATCAACTCAACATCATTTCAAACCGCACTCCCATCATGCTCACCTCAGGCCCCCCTCATCGCGGATCATCCATCTGCACCTGCCACTGGCGACTTTCCGAGGACCGATTGGGAACCCCAAGGTCCGGATTTCAACCACTCCTCAGCCAAAACAACCACCAACATCAAGCTCATCACTGCCAGATAGTCGTTATTGCCTCCTCAGCCGAAAACCGGTGAGCTACCAGGCACCCCCCTCCTCTCCCCAGGCCCCCAGTTGACTCCACTTTTATCTGGTTGGTGAGTCACTGTTCCGCCATATCTTTCACCTGCCCACTTGGCA